TCAGAAAATCTGGGTACAGGTTATTATTCTGTCACTATTAACTAAATGATCAAACGCAAATCCCTTGTGGTTTCTAAGCCTTAATAGCCTCAACTTAGAAATGGAACAATATTTACCTCCCACAGTTAACATGAGGACTAAATGCAATAATATTGGAGACAGTACTGTGTCAATTGTTAAGTAAATGTTAACTATTACTATTCTCATTGTTACTAACTGCAGATTGACTAACTATACATTGGTAATGTATAGACCAACTATAGGTTAACTATAGATTCTATCACTAAATTATAAAGTAATCTTGTGAAAACACTGAAATTTACTTTCACCTTATATAAAAATCTAGCTTAAATGACATTACTAGATTAAGCCATAATTGTGAGACTAAGATACAAGCAACTTACCAGAATAAAATGAAATAAGAGCAAAACAGAGGCTAGAAGAAAATGGAAAATAAAAAGGAGACTGAGACTCTACCCTACACACAACATCTAATGATCTAAAACTCTAAGCTCAGCAGAAAAGAATAAAAACCACCCTACAACATAAGAGCAGTAGGTTTCAGAGGAGGAAAAAGACTGGCACGCTTCTCTGCAGATGAGAATTGCTGGACTCTAATCACTGGAATGCTGTGCATTACTGGCAAAGTCCTAATTCAAAAGATGCTCTGCTGCCTTCTTTCACTGATTTCCCCAGAGGGGCTCCCATTTCATGAAATGAAAACTCTCTCAGCTAAATACATATAGCACAGACAACAACACAAGTTTAAAAAAAACACCTAATCACATTCTCTGAAATATAAGGATATTCAAATTTACTTAGTTTTTTTTAATCTTTTCCATGAGATTTAGGAGTGCCACAGCTAGCAAATCAGCTTGGCAGAGAAGAGAAGTAGCAACACGCTGAGAGGGCATGTGTGTTGTGAGGAAGAGTGCCACAGTGGGTTTGGGCAGAATGGGGAAGATTCTGCATGGTCTCACTGAAAGGGCACCTTCCTGTGCAAGGCAGGCCTGTGCCAATATCACCCTCTGGTGGCCAATTAAAAGTTGGTTGTGATGCTCTACAATAGAAGGCTGAAGAGTATCTCTTGTTCAGCCTTCTAGTTGTCATCTTTTCTGACTTGAGCCCCTTCTCTTAGATCAAGTTTCTCAGTCTTAGACATGCATCCAAGTCACTAGCAATGGTTTGCTAAAATACAAATTGCTGAGCCCCATCCCCAGAGTTTCTGATTCCCTGTGGGCATAAGAACTGCAATTTGAACAAGCTCCCAAGTGATACTAATACTGCTGGTCCAAGGACTACACTTTGAGAACCACTGCCTTAGATTAAAACATTCTATAGAAACAATTTCTTAATTGTTAGAAAAACTTCCTGGAATGTTGGGGAGAAAAGTATTCTCTCAATCTCACAAGTAGAATTATCTAAGCACCCAGAGTATAGAAAAGGTGACTTGTCCACAAATTTGTCAACTATTTGTGTCTGAGGGTCAACAATGTGTTAGATGTTTACTCAAACATCTATGACGATGTTTGAATGAACAACAGTCACAGAAGTATTACTGCTTTGTTACATCTAAGACAAAGCTTATGTCTTTTGTCTTCCTAGCCTAGAAAATAGAGGCATATAAAGCTGATAATGATCACTTATTAGGAAGATAACATTTATGGGGGGGGGGGATCAAGCACTAGTACATACATTCCAAAAAGTATTTTGAGAATTGTTTCCCAAGGTGACAGGCATTTTAGAAGTAGTCTGACACCAGTTTTATTTCCATGTACTTGGCTATTTAGATGTTTTATAGAGGCAATGCTAAGATAACATACTCGTAGAAGGAAAACTAAATGGGGGGGGGCTAAAATGGGAAAGAGTATAGTATATCCTCAGAAAAGGCTTTAAAAAAAAAAGACAAATCTAATAGCAATAAGCATCCCTAGGAACTGCACTGTGAAATAAAGATATATATATGGCTTCCTGGAGAAATCACTATTTCTAGGTTTGGAGTAGATAATGTACCTGGGGTTAAAAAAGCAACTTTTCTTACTTTGTGTTAAGTGCCATAAAGGCAGCCCGGCTTTCTTACCCCTCCCTCCCTCCCTTCTACTCTCTCTGAAGAGGAATGAAAAAATATCCTCAGGTGAAGATTAACAACAACAAACAGAATCATAAAAAATATTCAGTTAACCCAAAAGCAGACAAAAAAAGAAAAACTGAATTAAAAACAGACAGAAGAACTAGAAAGCAACTAGTAAAATGACAGATTTAAATCCAACCATATCAATAACCATGTTAACTATAAATAGTCTAAACACATCAATTAGAAGATGAACTCTTTAGATTACACAAAAAAGCAAGACCCATCTATATTTTGTCTATAAGAAACCCAATTTTACTAAATATTAAAAAGGAAATGTGTTGAAAGCAAAAATATGTAGACAGATATACCCTGCAAACACTAATCAAAAGGAAGCTAGAGTAGCTATATTAATATAAGATAAAAATTAGACTTCAGAGCAAGAATGAGACTTCAGAACAATATTATCAGAAATAAAGAGGGATCATAAGAGGGTCAATTCATCTAGAAGACATAATCTACATATATATGCACATAACAGCAGAGCTTCAAAATGTATCAAACAAAAACTGATAGGACTGAAAGGAGAAAGAAACAAATCCACAGAATTACATGGAGACTTCAACATATCTCTCAGAAATCATTACAAGTAGATATAAAGTCAGCAAGGATACAGAAAACCTAAACAACACTATCAACCAACTTGACTTAACTGACATTAATAAGAGTATTCCATACACTAACAGTGTCATGTACATTATTTCAAGTGCTCACAGAACACTGACCATGACAGGCCATATTCTGGACCATAAAACAAACTCTGACAAACAGAAATGAACTGAAAACTCAAAGGATGCCTTCTGACTACAACAGAATAAAACTAAAAATCAATTACAGAAAGACATATAGAAAATCCCCAAATACTGAGAAATTAGCATATTTCTAAATAACCCATGGGTCAAAGAGGAATACACGAGGGAAATCAGAAAATATTTTGAATTGAATGAAAAGAAAAAACACAGCATATCAAAAACTATAAGACACATCTAAAACCATGATTAGAGGGAAATTTGTAACATTAAAAGCTTATTTTAGGTGGTTGCTGCGGTGGGGGCTGGGTGTGGGCAAAATGGTGAAAGTGTCAAAAGGTACAAATTTCCAGTTATAAAATAAATAAGACCAAGGAATGTAATGTACAGTACGGTGACTATAGTTAATAATACTATATTGTACATTTGAAAGCTAAGAAAGTAGATCTTAAAAGTTCTCATCACAAGGAAAAAATATCTGTAACTGTGTGGTAATGAATGTTAACTAGACTTACTGTGGTGATCATTTCACAATATATACAAATATCAAATCATTATGTTGTATACCTGAAACTAATGTGTCAATTATATCTGTTTTTTTAAATGTTTATTTTTTAGAAAAGTAATGTTTCAAATCAATGATCTAAACTACCAGTTTAGAAAAAAAGCAAATCAACTCAAGGCAAAAGAAAGTAAATATTATAGATATGAGCAGAAACTGAAAACAGAAAAATAGAAAAAAATCTATGAAAACAAAAGTTGGATTTATCCAGACTCATCAAGAAAAAGAGGACACAAATTACCAATATAATGAATGAAAGAGGGCACATGATAACAGATCCTACAGACATTAAACGATAATTACAATTTTATCTCTATTAATTTGACAACTTAAGAGAAAATGGACCAGTTCCTTAAAAGATACAAACTACCAAAGCTCACTTGATAAGAAATAACCTGAATAGTTCTGTATCTCTTAAAGAAATTGAATTCCTAGTAAAAACCTGACAAAGAGCCTGGCTGGGTGTGGCTCAGCGGTTGAGCATTGACTAGGATCCAGGAGATAGCCATTCAAATCCTGGTCAGGGCACATGCCCGGGTTGCAGGCTCGATCTCCAGTTGGGGGCACGTAGGAGGCAGCTGATCAACGACAACTCTCTCATCATTGATGTTTCAACTCTCTCTCTCCCTCTCCCTTCCTCTCTCTCTGAAATCAATAAAGAAATATTTTTTAAAACCTGACAAATCTCTGGGTCCAGATGGCTTCACTGAGGAAGTCTATTAAACATAAAAGAAAAAAACATCAATTCTAAACAAACTATTTCAAAAAATTTTCCAAATCATTTTATGATTGCCAGCATGACCTCAATTCTACAACTGGACAAAAGCACCACAAGAAAACAACAGACAGCCTGGCCGAGCATGGCTCAGCAGTTGAGCGTCGACGTAGGATCCAGGAGATCGGGGTTCGATTCCCAGTCAGGGCACAAGCCCGGGTTGCGGGCTTGATCAATGACTCTCTCATTGATGTTTCTATCTCTCTCTCTCCCTCTCCTTTCCTCTCTCTGAAATCAATAAAGATATATTTTTTAAAAAAAACAACAGACAATATCCTACTTGAGCATAGATGCAAAAATCCTCAAATATTAGTAAATCTGATCCATTACTACATAAAAGCAGCAAATCTCTTTTAAAGGGTTTAATCATGTGTTAATCCAGACCTGGGATTATCCCAAAGCCAAGTGGCATCTGATTCCATTCTAAATTAAGTCTTGATGTAAACACAAAATTTTATGTCTGTAACTTTTCAAAGCTACTTTCAAAGAAAAGGCACAGCAGACAGGTTTAATTTAGGAAATTAGGAAGATTATACAGAAGTTGACACACGACACAAGAAACTTTAGGATTGAAAGTAATGTATAGTGTCATGAACACACACTGAACTAAAGGGTATGAACCTACCTCCTTGGTTTTGAATTTAAAAATTTAGATAAAGAGAGAGTTATTAGCCTATACTTAAAAACTCAGTTGTTTCCTCAAAGTTTCCGAGTCTGTGACACAAAGCATAATCCCTAATCTACTTTCTGCACCTGTATATCCAGTTCGGTTTAATTACTTACCTTCAACCTGGCTAGTATCTGGGCATGGTTTTTTCTTTGACTCCGAATTCCCAGTTTTCTCATCAACATCCAGGAGAGGAATGTAGTCTGTTTTTCCAACAGTTTCTCCCACAACATCATCATAGGCCTCTGCCTCCAGTGTGGCAATAAAGTCCCGTTTAATCTCTCCTTCAATTTCTGGAGGTGGTTCTGTTAATGCATCTGCAAGACTGAGGTCAGCCATTCTGCACCACTGCAACTGCCTGGTTAAAGGGGAAAATGTTTCATATCATGAGCACTGCAAAGGGGAAAACGTTCTTGTCAGTTTTTTAAACAACAACAAAATTAATATCCAAACATTTAGGTTTAGAAGAGATACCCCCATTTTACAGATTAGAAAATTAAAGCTCAGTACAATCTTACCCAAGGTAAGCACTTTCTTCTCACATCTGTGAAGGAAACAGAGGAAGTGCCATTCTGTCCTTTTCATTAGTAAGAAACATGAAGTATATTTAAAACTCAAGTTATCCTAGGTTACAGCCAGTAAGGCTCAAATCAGGCCTTCTGATTTCAAGTCTTATAACCCTTTTCAAATATTCCATATATCTTAATTTCCAAATCATATCCCAAAATAATCCTTAAAAGAATAAACAGAGAAGTCAGATTAGAATCCCATTAAAAAAAGGTTACATTACTATCAGACCAATGAAGTCACCTTTCTTCCTTTCTTTCTTTTTTATATATTTTTTTATTGATTTCAGAGAGGGAGAGGAGAGAGAGAGAGAGAGAGA